GTAGCAACTAATATATACATATCATTAATATTCAGCAAATATAACAGCAAACGCAAATGATAAGAAAGACATTGTCTTTTCTATTGTTCGTTGTGAACACAATCACAATAGTCTAAAGCTTCTCAAGAATGTGGACGACTAATTATAACGATTAATTATAAGCGTTAAGACTTAAGTTGACTAATTTAACACGCTGGCTTAGTTTCTCAAAGCGCAGAGGAGTACTATACTATAGAGTATATTCCTATCCATAAAAACAAAGACATGACATGTTTTTAGCACAAGCATGCAGTTATGAAGCCATTACCAAGCGAAATGATCTGCATTAATAGCTGATCGCTCCACCGTGGATAAAAGATGTTACGTTGATGCTTCTTATAAAACGAAAATTGTCCGGATTGCCCTATAAAACATCGTCATTTTTTCATTCAAAGTTGTCCATTCGGGAATAATATTTTATCGCCACAGTGGTATGACAACACAATTTCTAGTTTGCTTTCCAATTACGGAAGCAGAATATCATCTACTATAAACTCAAGCAAGGCTAGAGAGTCTTTAATTGCTCAGTAGCATCTCTATTACCAAGATGTGCCACTCAAACACAACTTTTAACAAAAGAAACTTAATTATTATACGTGTAAAATCTCGCGGAAACCATATTTTACTAAAAAATCTCATTACTAAACTTTTTTCCAAAATTGACGAATTTTACCAAATCTGGTCATCAGTGGCGGAAATTTCGGTGGGGCGGAGGGGGGAGGGCGCCCCCACCTTCACGGAAAATTGACGAATTTTCGACCTAAAAACAGTCTTTTCAAGTGCAATAGAGGCGGTTGTCGGAAATTTTAAAGTTTTGTCGGAAATTTTCCCCCAGCGGGAAAAGTGAATGTCCGCCCCTGCTGGTCATACTTTGGATGGGAGGACGAGGCTGGGACTTTTCAACTTGCAGCACATTTTACCAACTGATAACAGCCGGCCTGGAACACTGAAAAATGGTAGAAGCGTAACCAGGATTATTCATATTAATAGTTTGGACGTTCTCTGGTTTTAAAAATCAAGTTATTGAAACGAGCTTTCGACTGCCAGTCTGCAGTCTTCAAGGGGCAAGTGATAATGAATTACACGCGTAAAAACGCACAAGTTGTTACAGGTCTACAAACAAGTTGTTACAAATCTGTTCACAAGCTGTCGACAAGTTGTGTTCGCACTGCTTGTTCCCAGTTGGAATAAGCTGTTAACAAGGTAGTAGTGGAAATCCGGCTTAATTAAGGCTTTAAGAAATAATACCATTTTCTGGTGATACATTTTACAATACAAAAATCAAAACAACTAAAGTAAATAATATATTTTGATCATAATACACGACATTCAAAATAAACACTCCCAGAATTTCACATACTTCAGCCGACCCTCCCACGGGACAAAGCGAGTTTTAATTAAGATATCGTGTGATCAGCGTGAGAGGGTTTCTGTCGGAGCATGTTTGGGAGGGAAGCGAAAGTAGAGAGCCTTGGCTTGCGAGGTTGTTATTTATTCTATGTTTTTGCCAACATAGGTAAGTTTTTAATGTTCCTTTTATCTCATTCAATCTATAGATTTTCGATACAATTGCCATCAATAATCGCGCAATAATCAGATTTATAAAAATCGCGCGTATATTTAAATTTATTTACACATGTACGGTAAATTAGGTATTGTTTGAAGATCTTTGAAAATATTGCCGTTTAAGAATATATTTTAGGCATTGTTTGAAGATCTTTGGAAGTAATGCCGTTAATTAATATACTGGATTTCATTTCTGCTGAAAAAATCCAAAACAAATTCGTATAGAATCGTGGCTGAATGTATACTTAATCGTGTATCTATTTCATGGATTAGTGTCAGATACTTTCAGACATAATGCATAATGGACCGCCCGCGTGTAATTTGAAATAAAGGCCAGATGGGAAACTAAAGTCTAATTTGGATTAGCCTTACCACCGATCTAATAGTAGACTGGATATAGCTTCTATAGACTATAGGTGCCAAAAGTGAAGCCAAATTATATACGCGAAAATTACTTCCGGGGACCAGTACGGAGCATTGGTATGTACTACATCCGAAATGTATGGCGAAGAACATGAACCAAGGTGGATTTTGCCAAATTTGAGATACTTTGCGAAGTTTTACCAAGCTTCAAAAACTCAATATTATCATAAATCTATCATGTAGGCGGAGCGGAACTGGTTAATTGTTTTTGTATGGAATTGTAAACCAATATTTTGCCGCATGTAATTCATTATCACTTGCCCGTTGTAAGACATTATCACTTGGCAGTCGATCAGCTCGTTTCAATACATTTTTGGACCAGGAACTGGTCCCCAATCGCTGCTAATCTTGTTGTTGTT